TGAGCAATAAAATACACTCGTAGCAGATGAGCACAACCTTCAGACATGCCAAAATATGATGCTGTCAAGATAAAAACGATCCTGAAACAAATGAAAAGTGCCCTGCATCTGTCTCAGCTTTTTTAAAACCCCTCTAGGGATGCACACACACACACACACACACACACACACACACACACACACAGAACTGATCCAAAGAAACAAGTTGCTGACTGACACAGTTGAAATATGAGATGCTGATGCACTAACTCACACACACACACACACACACACACACACACACACACGCTCTGCAAGGACAACATGCATGCATGCATCTCCCTTACCTTCTCTGTCAGTGCACGCTCTCCCTCTCCTGCGCAGGGAGTGAGGAGTGGGATCAAATGATAGAGGGAGCGAGGATGGAGGAGGAGGAGAAGGGGATGAGAGTCAGTCGCGAGGAGAGGAGGAGCGACAGCAGGTTGTTGTCGGGCGTTCCACTGACACCGTCTCCCATGAGGTGCTGCTCACTCCCTACTTCAGGAGGTGTCTCTTCAGGGCTCAGGTGTCCCTTCAGGGCTGTCCCAGCTCCGCTGTGCCCTGGTGTGGTTCAAGGCTCCCCTGGCACTCTCCTCACTCTTTCTCTCTGTCTCTCAGTCCTTCACACGTGGAGGCTTGTCCTGCTAAACACTGTCTGAATGTCATCCAGTCAGTGAAGCCTATGTCCCCTCTCCTCTTCTTGTTTTCTCTCTGTTACCCTTTACCTCCCCCTCCTGTTCTTTGCACTTGTTCCTTCTGTTTACTTCCTCTGGTAGTGAACAGAGCTCACTTGCAATTCAAATGGGCTCATGTGTGATTATGTGTGTTTGTGTATCTGTATGTGCAATCTGAGAGTGAGGGAGCGAGTGGGTGAGTGTGTGGGGGCTGGCGGTGAGGTCGCTGAATGGGGGTGGTGATGAGGAGAGAGAGAGGAAGAGAGAGAGAAAGAGAAAGAGAGAGAGAGAGAGAGAAAAAAAGAGAGTGTGTATGTGTTGTCAAGTGCAGCGTTATGGAAAAAGGAGGTGATGTAAAAGTTAAATACATTAACCATTCCCTGGCTGGTCTGATAACATCTGTATAAGGGGAGAAGGCTGCAGACAACATCTTAGAGGTTACACTGTCTTTGTGCGCCTATCGCTTGTTCATTCAGGTGCTAAGACTGCCTCTAAATGAACATGTTTACATGGCTTCTCATCCACTTCATGGTTTTATGCAAATATTTAGTGTGCTTGCTGGCACCTAAAAAATAAAAACTGTACCAAAGTGTACCATCTTTTACAAAGATGTAAAAAAAAAAATCATTTTTATGCACAGTATACCCTTGTTTCATCATCATGATTTTTATATATTATATCATTTTCGATATCATGCTACTTGGAGTTACTCATATATAGGTTTAGCTATATGTTTTGAACATTATATATAGTTTAATGTAGTATGTCTGCTAAGTTTGCTGTCAAATGAGGTGAACATCTCTTCAGGATCTTAATGGATTTAGAGTTTCTAATTCTGAAAGTACAAATTAAGTTTTGCATTTGATGTTTAATAATGGATGTTTTTTGAGTTAGGTCTTTAAAGAAAAACGTATAGTTCATTATATCTACCATTAGGCACTAGACAGCTCACACCCTGCAAAGTGTTTATTATTTTAATATACTTACTTACATAAAAACTACACATAATTTGACAGTCTTTTTACTTTTACTAATTCATTCACCCTTTTGCATACAATGTGAATTTCATCCTAGTTAAAGGAATACTAAAACTTATTTTAAATAGTTAAATTCTTATGCATAATTCAGCAACTAACTTAATATGTAGACTCATTAAGCACTTATTGTGAATATTTTTTAAAGGAATAGTTTGACATTTTGGGAAATATTCTTATTCCTGCCAAGAGAAAATTGATACCACTCTCATGTCTGTAGGTTAGGCTAACTATCAAGCTGGAGCCAGGCAGTTAATTTAGCTTAGCACAAAGACTTTAGACAGGTGTCAACAGCTAGCCTGGCTCTGTCCATGGGTAACACAATCCACCTAAGGCTCCGTAATTAACACATTATCTCTCGTTTGTTTAATCTGAAAACCAAAGTGTCAAAATGTCAATTAGTGGTGTTACAGGGTTATGTGCTCTACAGTTTCTTAGCAAGAAGTGGCTAGTCTTTGTGCTAAGCGAAGTTAACCAGCTGTAGCTAAATCTCCTCTCTTATTCTCTCTCTGCATGCTTTTCCCATCTAGGCATTCTTGCTGACATTAGGATGCATTTAGGCTCAGTAGTTTGTGTTTGCTGCCGGGGCGTAGTTTTAGAGGGAATCTTTCTGTCTGTGGAGTTGAAATTAGTTGAAATACCTGTGCCTCTGCATGTTATAGTGAGGACACAATGTAATGAGCTGGAAATCTACCAGACAGTAAATTCTGTATGCAGTACAGCAAAATTAGGCTTTATGTCCACCACCTATAGGTCAAGTGTAGATCTCAGAAGACTGGGGGGTGGGGAGGTGGGGCATTCATAGCATCTAGCCCTCTCATCTCCACACAATGGCGGGCCTCATGTACGGTGCTCTTTCTCTCTTGAGTTCTTTAATCAATATCATCAGAAAAATAGAAAGAGGCCCGCCATATTGTGTGCTAACTCCCCCTTTTCCATTCTGTGATGGGGCCTTTTCTCACTCATTCACCAAGTACTTCAGTGTAGGACTATTGAGGTCGCTCTGAATGGGACCCACTCCACCCACAGGGAATATTGTCTGACCACAGGCTAAAATCTGAGAGACCCCCACTCTCCCTTCCTCCCTGTCTCTGTCGCCCTGTCACTCCATGCAAAATCCCTTCAAAGAAGAATAAAAAATGTGGCACATGAGCGCTATTAATAAATGTATCACTTTAGGGGCCACAACTGGTCTTTTTTTTTTTTTGGAGGACCCTTTGCTGCAGCTGGTCTCTCTTTCAAAGCCACCAGTCTTCCTCTCTGTACCCCTCTCCATTCGCTGGCCCACTTTCCACTCCCTAAGAAGTTCTGAAAGTCGGCAATCTGGCAGAGCATGATACTGCGGCTGCTTTTGAAGATTGGATGGTGATTAACCTTGGAGAGATTACTGCACACATACAACTTTGTGTATGAGCTGCGTTCTAACAACTTTTATGCAGTTTTGGGGGGGTGGGGGGAATTTGATTTGAGAATCACATTTTCCTAAGACTTTGGACATCTGTCGGACATCTGTCAGACCTGAAATTGAAGCACAGGCTTGGGTGACATGCGCTCACAAGGACTAACACACATCCACTCTCTGCTTCATTGCCATCGTCACTGGCCTGAATATTTTCTTTTGATCCCACAGCTCCTCTCCTCTTGTGTTGCCGTTTAATAATTTATCGACAGACAGTCACCGGACAAACTCCATCCGCACAGAAAGCGACAGAAAGTGAGAGTAAAATTTTCATTTGGCATAATTGCATGAAAAGAAACTGCAAAACTGGCCTTTTTTATTATTGATGTCAGCTTACAAGCCATGCATAATGCAAGGGGCCGTCTTTATGACAACCATGTATTAAATATCATGTTCTGGGGGTCGGGGGTTCTCAGGCTGTGTGCTTTTACTGCCACAGTTAGTTGGCTTTCGTAGACTAAATCCCTATATGGACAGTGCTGTAAAAAGCAAAGACAGAAAGAGGGATTGACAGTAAGAGAAAGTGATGGAGAGCGATCGACAGAGAGAGAGAGAGATGAGATGAAGGGGGGGGGGGGGGGCATGAAGGAGGGTGTGCTAGCTGGGTTAACAGGAATCTTTATTTTTAACAACATGTCATCACCAGCCGCCCATCTGCTCCTGTGCTGTCAGATTCCCTTGGGAGTGTGTGTGTGTGTGTGTGTTTAATGTGTGTAAGAGAAAGACAGAGATGCAAGCAAGCCATCACAGATCAGATCACTGATCAGCACCCAAAGGAGGAGGAAGGGAGTGGACAAGGTTAGAGAGGTGGGTGGCACACAGATATCACTCTCCTCTAATATCCAAATGGGGTGTGACAAGGGAGGACAGTGGGAGTGGAGGTGAATGGTGTGTGTGTGTGTGTGTGTGTGTTTGTGTTCGTGACAGGAAGGTAAAGTAGGATTAGGTGGATCAATCTACAACTGCCCTCTCTGTGTTTGGATGGGGGGATGGAAGGAGGTGGAGAAGGTGGTCCAGGGTTAATGAGAGGGAATCTATTAGCACAGAGGAGGGGGGTGTGAGGACACACAAAGAAGGAGCAGCAGTGAGTAGGAGGAGGAGCTGTGTGGGCTATACTGGACCTCCAGGGGTGGCCCCAACAACTCATTTTATTTATTTCAGATAAAGGCACTAGTCTCTGGGGGAGAAGGGAGCAATGGGGAGGAGATGTTTGCTGGTGGAGGAAGTAAAGGCAAGGACTTTGCATTCAGAGCGTTTTTTACATAGCAGAGAGACAAGACCAACAGCTAGCTGTTCCGCAGGTCACTCGTCATTAGCAAATACAGTTCAGTACAGTTAATCTCTCCCCTTTTGTGCTTTCTTTATGTCTGTTTTCTTTTCTTTCCTCCCAGTTTAGACTTGTTTTTCACTCCATGATGAACGACAGCCTCCAGTGGTCCATTCCTCTTTATCAAAGGTTTTGAGTGAAAATCTGATGGAATGAAAACATCTTGTTTTGATATTTATGGTGATGCACTTTCGTTTTGCACGACATGTAGAGCAAGCAGTCTTCGGTCCTTGTTTGCCTCGTGTCTGCACTGAATCTGCATCTCATATTGAGTACTGAAATCTCTTCCTCTTTCTTCATCTTCTTTCCAATGTCTTTCAGGCATGTTCAATTTTCAGGCTAATTAGTCCAGAGAAACCAGTCATACCAAAGAATCCACCCCAGGCCCCGCACACATCCTCCTATTGATCTTGTAGCGCCAACACAAGCAAAACCACACACAAATTTCACGTACAAGACACAGGCAAACAAACAAGATTCAACAAAAGTTTTCAGAGCAGCATGTATTATAGATGGGGCAAACGTACAAAAAGTCAGCATGCAGCTTGCATTATGCAAGTTTTTTGACCTTGACAGAGTTCAAATGTTTCAGATATTCTACATCATGATCGGAGATGCTGTTTACTGAGTCGGCTGTAAAAGAAATGTTTTGCAGCCCACTAAACCTTTTTTTCTGGTATTTCCGTCTCTCCTCAGTTCCTCCCAGTTTCTCTGCTATCCCTTCCCCCTCTCATGCTCCATTCTCAGTCTTTCCCTCATTTCTGATCCATTTTTTATGCATTACTCCATTACTCTCAACTCCCATTTACAGTGCATTACCTCCTCCCATCTTTCACAAACACACTTTATACTTCTCTCTCCTTCAGTCAGTCACTTTGCTTCCCTCATTCCTTCTCTCCCTCACTCTCCTCCAGTGCATTATGACACTTTCCCTTTCCTTCTCCCCTTCACCCCCTTTATAATCTCTTTGTCTCTTCTCTGGGCACGTCATCCCATACTAAGCATTTGTTTTACCCTTATCTGTATTTCCCATCTAGTTTGTTATTCTCCATGCCATACTGTCTGTCTGCACTGCTGTCATCCTCCCTTTTAAATTGGTTATTGGAAGCATGCTATGTAATTTGGTACTTAATGTTGTCTTTGCTCTTTTACAACACAAATATACAAATGTCAGCTAATATAATTAACAATAACAGCGGTCAGTCCTTCAATTTATTTGTCCCATTGAGAACACATGAATGAACAGACAAGCAGCAGACTCTCAGATTTGATGATGTGATAAATCATTATATTACAAGCTGCAATACATAGTGAAACAGATTGAAAGAGTGAGCAGTGTGTGTAGATGCCATCCTGCTTTTAAATCAGCTGTGGTGATGTTGTCTTCAGTGAATTTTTTACAGTACAAAAGAGATGCAGGAGTTCATGGCTGTTTTCATGTCAAATGTACTCCTTGACTGTAGGACACAGCTTACGGGAACCCATTCTCATTGCTGTGGATAAAACAAAAAAAACAAATAATTTAGTTTAGTCAGACAAATTAAAGTTACTGTACACAATTGGCTTCATTGGCAAGTTTTTAACATAACCCCCCCAAAAAAACTCTAAAATGTTTCTTGAGTTAGCTGAAAATTTTAATAATTTTAAAGAGGCAATCTGTGGAAGAAAAAATATCCATAAGAATTTAATTTATTACAAAACAGAATACCTAATTGTGAAATTTAATGACTACCAAATACTTACGTTGAAATTGAAATACAATTATACAGTTTATTGCACCGAACTATTTTGCACTGAAAACCATCTATCTCAATGTATGTGGTCAATAAGTCACTATCAAGTTGTGCAATTTCAAAAACTTAATTTCCAGTACATATATAAATATATTAGAGTCAAAAATTACATTAATTTCAAATTGTTCAAATTCAGTAAGCTTAATTTTAATCTAAAGATTCATGCAATGTAAAGAAAAATGTGGTTGCTTGTGTTTAGAGCGGCATGCTCTGATCTTATTTTCTTATATTGAACTTTGGTGTCTGTTCAAATCCAGACTATAAAATTCAACTTGAGAAATTCAGATCTGAACATATCAAGGATGAAAAAAAGTCAGTGAAAGGTCTGGGGAAAATAACCCTAATAATGCCATCAGATTCAATTTCCCTGGAGTCAATAAAAGTCATGATATCTTGGCCTTTTGACCAGCCTTCTTTTAATCTGGCTTTTGGAAGTCCACCAACTTTATGGACGTGCAATACTAAATTACCCCTTTAATGCATGAGTGTAATCACCATCCAGGAAATTATGATCCCAAGGAGAAAGGTCAAATTTTGTAAAACTTGAAGCAAAATGGAATCATTATGGAAGAACATGCATCATAATGTATCCTGGAAAGCTTCAAGGAGAATAATCCTTGCTTTTCTTCAACTGTATAAAATACTGTGGACTAATTAGTTCAGATGGAAATAGGTCCACATGCATAGGGCGGCTTTTTTTCACCACGGTTTTATTTTTTTAATACTCAAAGTGTTTATTTTAAGATTCTGCCAGGTAACAGGCTGAAATAATGACTGAGGATCATTCTAAACCCTTTATTACATATATCGCAAACCCAACCAAGCAAGAGGCTTCCGGTCTGAGACGCGAATTAAATGCGAAAGTCCGTTAAACCTGCATTCTATCGAACAGCCAGCAGGGGGCGACTCTTCTGGTTGCAAAAAGAAGTCCAGTTCCATTAGAAATAATGGTAAAATGACCCTATTTCTCAGCTGATTTATTACCTCAGTAAACACTTTCATAATGAGTTTACGGTCTCAATCGCTAGTTTCAAGTCTTCTTCAATACAACATGATGTTCATTTAGCAAATTATGGTCCCATTTACAGGAAAATAAAACAGAGAGGAGAGTATGCTTCAGGGCGGGATTATCTGTGATTGACAAGTCGTTACCATGGCGACCTGTCAATCAGGCGAAAGTGACTCGTACCCACGACACTATGTAAATTTAACCAGCGCCGTTGAAAAAGCTTATTAGGAGTTGGCTGTTCACTTTCTCTGGTGAGTACATTTAGTTTTAAGTTGTCAGCCCTGTTAAAATGACAGTTAACGTGAATTACAGATGCACCTAGCTAAGCAAGCTAGCTAGCTCCACTCTGGCCATTAGCTCCACCGTCTCATCCAAATATGGTCACTTCCGGGAACTTCCTGGTTGGAAAAACTCAACATGGCTGCGCCCTATCGACCAAACTCGAGGCTTCAAAACGGCAGTCCACAAACCAACGGGTGACATCATGATGACTACGTCCACTATACAGACTATGATTTCAACACCCTAGACTCTAAACTGTAACACTGCAACATCTTTGGAGGGAAACTCCAAGTAGTCTGTCTCAATTCAGATACTTCCGTACATTGCGTACACTATGTAGCCTACTTCCTTGCTTAGTGCGTTCATTTCGACAGGGTAGTGTTGTCTCAAATGAAACGCTGCTGTTTTGCAATTGTTGCCCGCCAAAATATCTGGTTAGTTTGCTCACTTGACTTCAATTAAATTTTATTAAAAATCAGCAAAAATGAACGTACTTCTACTTTTACGAGATCATAACTGCTGCAGCTTCCTTTGTTGCCAATTTTTAACAGGTTTAAAAATACGTTGGTTGTCCCTCCCCTTCTGCTATGTAGCTAAGATGGCAAACATTGAGGGTGAGATGTGCACAGCATTCCACAATCAATTTCTGAACGTTATGAGTGCACCATCCAGGTACTCATAGTGCAGTGTGCAGTTTGAGGCACACCTATACCACTTGCCAAGTGCAAACCAGATGTCTGTCTCCCTCTGACCTCCATTACAATAAAATTGTCTTTAAGTAAGCTATAGCATTCGTCAACATCTGTGACCGTGTGGAATAACAGCAACACTGGGCAAAAGTTGTGACTAACACATGAAATGGTAGAACCAGTCCTCGGAGCGATCCACCAGACAGGTTGTCCACTCTCGTAGGGTCACCTTCCTGTTACTGTTACTGTCACATGACCTGCAAACACACCACAGTATATCACTTGGTGACCTCATAACATAAGGCACACACACACTTGCAAACACAAAATCACAGATTCATACAGATAGATATAGAGATGGTACAAAGACAGCCATAGTTATGGAAACAACTGCACTGGGGCTCTTCCATAGCCATTGTCTTTCAGTTCACCCTGGAGTGTTATCTCTGAAGGGTACTCTTTCAATTTGTGTTAATCCATGGGCAGCGGGAGACACAGTGGGTAATAAACATTATCATTGCTGGGAATGGCTTGACATTGACATAGCCAGCCATACTCCACAAAACCTGTCACTGCAGACTGGCAGAGAAAAGGGGGGTTGGGTGGGAGTAAGGATGGAAGAGAAAGGGGGAGAGATGGAAGGATGAAATAATGGCACAAGAGTGAAAACGAAGGAGGGACTGACAGAAAGCAAGGCTGAGGAAAAGTCCATTTGTAGGAAAGATGAAAGGAAAATAGGAAGCGCAGAGGGGGGGAAAGAAGTGCTTCAACATGGAGGAGGAGTAAGATGATGGCGAGATGGTGTGGTCATGAGATCGGAGGGGAGGAGGACACAGGAAGCGGATATTGGCATGGAGAATGAATGGATAGATGGCGTGCAGAGAGAACAGCAGGGTGGGAGGTGCAACTTGGCCACAGAGCGGGGGCGAAATGCATCGCTGTGTGACATTTTTAACCCTTGGTGTTTCAGTAATTAGCTGAAAAAAACATACAACACTGTCCTTGCCTTGTTGACCACTCAGTGGTAAGTAAGAATTTACCTACTTATCAAATAGGTAATTTAATCATAGATTTTTCCCTCCCATGCTACTGGCTTAATGAAAATACAACTAAACACTAAAAATGAACCATTAGCTTATGTTAACGCTGTGATGTTGTGTACTAAACTAAATTCATTCAAATCTGACTCAACGATCCTGTCATCCAGCAGCTAACATCATGTATGCAGCCCTGTCAGCTACTAGAGGTGGGACTGACTGAAAGAATGGCGTAGCACAGTGCTCCATTGGCATCTTCTTGTAACGCAGCTTCCTCAGGTCCCTGCGGCTCAACTTGCCATCTTTGTTCTTGTCCAGTTCTGTAAATCTTTGCTAAAGAAACAGAGGAAATAAATATCAAGAGAAAACTGTTCATCTTATTCAACTAATTGTTTGCACTGTTTCTGCTAAACATCAACATGTTAGCATTGTCATTGTGAGCATGTTAGCATGCTGAAGTTAGCATTTAGCTCAAAGTGTCGTCCAGTTTTATAGAGCTAGCATAGCTGGATACTCTTAGTCTTGTTTTACAATAAAAAGTTGTATTTTTGTCCATGCTGAAGATAACATTATTGAAAGACAAATTCATTAATCTAGGAAAGCAGATAGAGGTGGAGATGTATGAAATACCACAAAAATGGTTTTAGTCTAAAACACTGTATATCATTTTACACATCATCAAAATAATGCATGAGTTTTTTTTAAATTCATTTGAGGCCAGGAGGTCAAAGTGGCTGGCGGGAGGATATTAAGTTATCCGTCCATTTACCATCTTATTGAATAATTTAGTGATTATTGACCAAATACTATTTTTACATGGTTTTCTTAAGAGCCCCTGTCTTGTTCTGTGGATGACCACACCACAAGCAACACAAGAACTTGCCACTTAACAGCAGGTTGTTAACATCGATTTCTTGCTAGACAATCCATGAAGCGCAGTTTGTATATTAGCACGATGATGGTGTATGGTGTCATAAACAACTTTATGCTCGGTGTTCGGTTACACTGGGAGTGATAGTGATCCCTTGATATATTTTTCATCCAGCTATAGTTTCTTTAGTATTACATTTTGTTGTGAATATCGATTTTATTTGCATCATCATTAGCTGAGGTCACTGTAGATCATAAATCTTGTCTACTACTCTACAATCACGTTCTCCCCTTGGAAGCAGACCTTTGGCGTCTGCTGCTTCGGCTCACTTCAGCAGTAACGTTTCAGCTACCTGTGCTAGTTGTGTCCTCTTGGCATGGCTAAGGCAGCTCTGGGGCGGGGCAGCAGGTGCGTAAGACTCCCCCATACGACTCAGGAGCAGAAACCAGTCCAGCAGACGATATGGAAACTGGCTTAACTCCTCCTCAGTGCATTTAGCCTTGGGGACTGATCAAGAAGGATAACAGAGCTCATTTGGCAGATTGCAGTGCCCAGTGGAAATTGTGTGTAATATCTAATGCTGTGTATGTTTACCCAGACAGCGTCCTGTGTGAGCCAGTCCTGTGCGGCGTCTCTTTCTGCAGGCTTCTTTATGCAGCAAACACTCACTGCCATAGGTCTTTCCAAGAACACTGCACACTGGTGCCCTCTGCCTGATTACATTAGCCAGTGCCCATATGCAAAACTATATGTGAGGAAGGATTCTTCATACAATGTGCACACCTGGATTAAAGAAACTGTTATACAGTACTAATTTTTTTAAAGTTGTGGATATCAGTATCATTAACAAATCCAAAGTCAGTGAATAATAAAATTTACATAAGTATAAAGGATTTGTTTGAGTTCATTGGCTGGTCAAAAACAGAAAATTATTAAAATCCCAAATAGCCTGTTACTTGGTTTAAATGCCATGAGGTGTTTACCGTGGACAGGACTGGGGACAAACACATCTGGGGACGCTGACTCCATTTTCCTGAACTACCTGGCACCAAGATCCCACTGGACTATGGCATTTCAGCAGCTCACAAAGCTTTTCTGAAACATGAAGAAACAGCCTTGTTACTACATTGTTTATCTTATTCCTAGTTTTACATCTGTGTATCCTTTACCTGATTACAGGCCTGTTTTGATGATCACTCATTTAGCTTTCAGTACTGATTAAAGGTGTTTTGGATTAGAGCGTATAAAATGTCTCATATGGGGCTATTAAAGATAATGAAATGTCATGGAGTGTTGAATGAAAAGAAAGCTGCAAATGAATGGTGGCAGGACAATGAATGATGCGATGGCTGCCTGATTTTCAGTCATTGCTACACATTCAATTCTTGGTCCAAAATGCCATGTTGGGCACATATGTGGCCCAAAATGGTATTCATTGTTTGCCAGCTATATAAACAATTTCAAACATATTTTTCACCACTTGATGTGAAAATAAATGTTATTTGCTGCAGCCCGTGATGCTTGTTTTTGCACCTTGGACTTTGGAAAGAGAGCAAATAGCCTTAAATGCATTGTATTTATGTTGCATTTATGCTTGATATTAATGTACAGCACTTTACCTGCGTTAAAAAAAAGTGCTATATAAATAAAGTTTGACTTTTACTATAGTGTACTATACTATAAAATCTATTTATATAACTGACATGCAGCCAGAAAATGGCATTCCTCTATACTGTACATTAAAGTCTTACCTGGCTCTACTCTGCCAATATACGGTCTCAGTCTCTCCTCAGCTTGTCTCTGTCTGCGCTGGGCTCTGCCTCCCTGACAAACACACACACACACACACACACAAATATAGTTTTCCAACAGTACTCTATCAGGTTCTTGGCAGAGCTGCAAGGATGAAAGGATCATATTTTTTTCTTCTTCATGTCATTCCAGAGGCACGCACTAAACTCAGGTATAAACTTGTCCTTCATTGTAAACCTATAACCTTAAACTCTGGATCATGATGTGTGCATCACAGGTAAAGAGGCCAATGACCTTCAATCTAAATTATCAAAAAAAGACTCTTAAAGTCAGTGTACTGTAGATGATAAAACACTAAATGGTATGCGTTCTTTATCACATCCATATCCCGTCATATGCCACAATGCAAAGCTATATTTCCACACACTTTGTAGTCAGTGCCAGGTCCACATCTGCCCCCAAAATCTGCCCAGATCAGATGGAAAACAGGTGCAATGCTGACCCATAATACTGGAGCCACACTTCCCTAAGAATTGCTGTTTTAACACCTATCGCAAAACAATCCTGATGACTGTAACCGTGAAGGATGACTACGTGCAGTAAGTATCTCACAAAATATCTACATGATCTTTTACCATTTGTTTACAGTTGCAACCCTGGTGATGAAAAGTTCTCAGGTCATAAAACATTAATATGATTATCATTGTTATTAGTGGTTGTGCCCATCTAGTTTGTAGTTTTTTATTGCTCTCAAATTCACTTCAAAATATGAGATTAACAATCACATTTAGGCAGAAGCCACAGGCAAAGTTAGACTCACCATGGCTGTGCAAGTGTGAAGACTCAGGAGCAGAAGCAAGACAAAGGTCAAGCTGAGGTTCATGGCTGAAACATCCAGTGGGCTACAACAGGAGATTTTCCTGTGGGAGGAAAATATTGGACAAATTCACTCTGATTTTGCAAACATACTGTATCTATTCTATCTATTTCCAGCAGCATTGTCACTTTACCTGTATTTTTTTTTTGATATCAATTACATTTGAGCTAAAATCTAAAAAATAAATAGTGCTGAAGGACTATCAATTTACCCAAATCTAAGCTATTAGATGCATTTTTCTTCTTTCGGCTGTGGTGTCATATACTGACTATTACTCCATTTCCAGTCATTCTGATAATGTAGCTGGGAAACAATGCATCTCACTGAGTCTCAAGAAAACAATCATTTTCCATAGCAGAGGAAACAGAGGGTTGAATTACACTGACAGGACAATCAGCTTCCTGTTGAGGAAGTTATTATAGTCATTTTCGATCCCCCTGGCTGCTTGAAAAAAAACATCTTACCTCTGTCACTTCTTTCTTCTGTTGTTATTCCCCTGTTAGTGTTCACCTTATTTTCCTTGTTGCCAGATACCTTTTTCTCTCCGTCTCCCCGGCTCCTCTGAAGGTATTCTTTTCACAGCTCTCTTCAGCTCAGCAGTCTTTACCTTTTCTTTTCATTTGATCCATCTATTTTTACATTCTTTCCTTATCTAACCCCTCCTCTCTGCGTTTCCCTGTCTGTCTGACTTCTACCTTTACATTGGCTCCTTGCTGATTGCAGCTGAGCGCACAGGTATCTGAACTCAGCGTTACTTTAAGACCCTCTGTGCAGTTGGATGTCGATGAGATGGAATATGGGGAAAAGTACAGGAGAGCTGTACTTACTGAGAGAGTGATAGTAAAGGGAGAGAGGGAAAGGATGTTTTTTTGGGGGAAGTGGAGTGGTTTTCATTGAAGTTGGCACTGGTACACAGGAAGATTTACAGGCCAGAGAGAACATATGGACACACTTCTTCTCGCTCTTGCACTCATCTCTCTCTCTTTCTTTCTCTCTCTCTCTGTCTTTTTAACATTTAAACAGACTTTGTACTTTAGACACACGCTAACACACACCCAAAGGTAAAATTTATGTGTGTAGAGGAAGGACACCTCTGAAAATATGAACTGTCAAAGGCAATAACAGGGACAAGGCTGCTCTCTAGTGGTTATGCTGGTCAATAACAGTTTCACTGTGTGCCTGTTACAGATGATATGGTAAAGGAAACAGGTATGACATGAAATGTATTTTAAATCAAACAAGTTATCTGTCGGAAGAAGGCCAGACTTTTGTGAAAACCTTCGGTTTTAAAGTTGGCTTTTTGACTTAGTTCTCTCTTTAAATATTTAATGAAACCATGCTTTAAACATTTTCCCTGAGTCACCTTGTTGTACGGAAGAAGCACTGAATATTAAATTGAGGAGAAAACACAATACAAAAAAACATGAATTAGTGAAACAAAAACATGAATAAAACAAAAATATCTTTGTGGGAATAAGCTTGTTGGCTGTTGGTGAAGTAGCATGTTTTGTTAGTGTTGTGATTTATGGTAACTTAAATCACAACAAACAGTTACAATGTATATCAGATGGTTTGATCATTAGCAAATTGGCTTGGGAATACACCAAATCACAAAATCAACCAAAATGAAAGCAGCTTTAAAGAAGGTCTTGTTTTATTATATGCCTTGACTACCTGTTAGACCACAAACAGGGGCCAATAGGGGCCCCAGTAGGATGATCCACCTCTGAATTTAGGGACAGTTTAGGTCTCAATAGGAAAGTTTTATTATTAGCCCACCCTAACTGTGAAAACCAGGATGAATTAAATCAACCTAACCTAATGTGACATGTTTTATACCACCATAACAACATCTATTCTATAAAGTCTGTAATAATAGCCTAATATATGCTTAAAATAAGGCTTTTATTAAACAACTGCAGGAGTGGAGCAAACGTATTCTTAAGAATGCATGAGTCATTCATTTGTAACACAACAGCTTTAAGGGAGTTTTGAAGCTTGTTGTGACAACATGAATTAATTCATAATAAATAAATACACCATTTTAACAGGCTACAACAACTTTTAAGCAAACCTTTCTAACAATGACACCCTTTCAAAAGGGTTTATAAGTTGCAAGTAATGGCTTTATTAATGGCTAATGAATCATTTTCATTATAATGCTTTATAGGTCAGATATAAACCATTAAAGAAAGGCTTTTGGTTGCTATACATGTTGTGCAAACTCCGTTAACTGTTTAGTTAATTATGTAGACAGTTTGACTATAGCAAATGTTTCTTTTCAAACCTGGCAATCCAAATGTTTTTCTTATTTATGGCTTTAAACTGACCTATAAAGCGTAACAGTGTTATTGACCCAAAAACCATTGGTGACACGCAGAAGTCACATGACTCGTGTCACCAATATGATGACTGAACTTGACAAAATCAAAAAATACTTGCAACTCAACTTTGGCTTTAACACCAATGACTTGTGACTTGGATGATACTTGAACTTGAGCCTTTTGACTCGAACTGACTTGATACCCTTGATACCCTCCCTAAGCCCTTTTTTAATCAAGATATAAAAAAATTGTGTGCGGGGCATCAACACTTCATTTAAATCATGAAATTATATGACATCTGTTGTGTGAAACTGTTTCTCTTCCTTTTTTTCCTGTACAGGTTTATGCTGTATTTGATAAAGTTTTTTTAAAAATTTTTTTTAGCTCCTGTTAAAACAATCTAATGGTATTAAAATGGGTGAAGAGCACATTATGACTCAAAGTTTAGGATTTGAGACTTAACTTGGGACTCTTGGTCTTTACTTGAGGCTTGACTCAGGCTTGAGTGCTAAGACTTAACTCACACTTTAAGTTAACGTATGTAAGTAGGCCTATTATCAGCAAATTTTAGTTACTCAAAAAAATTCTAACTCAAAATCAAATAATTAGAAAAAAGATACCTGATACATGATTTCCACTTGGCTGGAAAAGTATTAAAAAATGTAATGTGAAAAGTATCTGTTAGACGATTGTTGTAGAGTAAATGTCTGCCTCTGAGATGTAGGATAGTGATTGTGGCATAAAATGGAAATACTCAAGAAAAGTACAAGGACATAGTAAAATGCATCTAGTTACATGCCACCACTGCTGCTACTACTGAATAATAATAAGCACAAGATAATAATTTTAGTTCTTTGTTATCAGTACTTCCACTTGCACAGAGTACCACTCTTCAACTTTTTTCCCCCTTAAATCTTTATTGCAAAGACAGGAAAGTATAAATGGGACAGTATACACAACATTACACAAATATATAAGATACAAATAATAACAACAACTTGCCATGGGTAGTCTATATTATATAATGATATTAAAAGAGATAAGCTGACAGTTTTCACAGCCTTTTTGTTGTTGGATTTAGAAATTACATCGACATAATGCAAAACCAAATGGAGAAAAAGTACAAAGTTAGGTTTTTTACTGAATTTACATTTATGAATGTGAAATTTTGCTATTAAAATTGATAAATGTATTATTATAAAATACTTAATAAAATAAAAGCAAAATAGGCCTAACACATTCTCCCACATTAATGCAAAATCACACTTGCGGTGTGTAAATAATGCCAAAAGAAATGAAAAAAAGTTTCTGGGTGTGTCTTCAAAGAAAGAACAATTTGTATTGATGTCTCAAAATTAAATTTAACCATGTACTGATTAACAGGGTATTACAATATGTGAATCATTCTACTCTTCCTTCACCAGGTATTTCAATCCACTTTACAACTCTGCACGCTTCTCGTTATATTCTGACGTCAAATCAAGGGCTAGCAGAAAGGCTCTAGTTTACTTTCGGTGAACGGAGCTACTACAACCTACTACCAACTTGAATGAATTCTAAACATAACAGACCGCATCTAAAAAATAGTGCACAGATGTAGGCGAGCACGCACTTTGAGATAAGCGTGCAATGTCACCCTTTGAGACCCAGGTGACATCTAACGTTACACGCTCCGCCCAGCTGGAAGCGAGAGGACGATGTCGGAATGCCTCGGGAAGTCAGTCTGGACGGTACCGTGTGGTTGTTGCCTGCCGTGGTTAGTTTCTTTATAAGACTACATATTGTTTTGTATGAGGATTTCACATCACGGACATGGCCGGGTTTTGTTTACGTTGTCCCGTCGCTTCACGGACCGTCTTTTCCCGTCGGTAATGCTCGGTGTTATCAGTTGGTCGGCGTTAACACGGTGACAGTTATTAACTAACGGCTCCGTGGTACAGTAGTTTCGGGCTATTTTTAACGTTAAAGTGGAAGTACTATGGGCTAGGCATCACTTCATGAATTAATGTTAACGTTCAAAGTCTGTTTTAAACGGAAAGTGAAAGACTACGTTACCTCTACTTGGCCGCTCACTTTACAACATGTTGTTATTTACAAGACAACGAACAAGTGGGCTGTTTGCTGACCAATCTTTGGGGCTGTAAATATGTTTTTAACGGTATAATTCAGGTAAGTGCAATTATATTGTACATGTATCAGGTTACATAAGCCCTGTTGTGATTGTGAAATAATGGGAAAACAATGAACGTTCCTGTTTTAGCCATACTGGGTGCTCCATATATCCAGATTTCTCTGTTTGGGTGTGTGTGGGTACAGAACATGATAGCTACATATACTTTTTTTTAAATTAAACTAATGACAAACAACCCAAAAGAGCCTTTGAGTAGGTTGCCATTAGTTAGTCTTAATCTGTGCTGCCCAGTGAGGCAGAAGATGCCATGTTGTCCAATGACCTCCTGGAACTCCACTGAGGTGTGTGTTCCACATGCACATGTCAGGATTAAAGGGTAACTAAAGATGACTCACCATGATCCGCTCAGACAGGAGTTCAAATTTATACCATGCAGTGCAGCCTCACATATTCATATTTTTACACCACAACTGAAGTTGCTGTCAGTCAACTCTCATAACTATGTGTGTGAGTGTACCATTTTAGGCTGTGATCTATTACAGCCCCAGACAGTGCAAAGCGCCATGGCATCAACAAGCCGGCACTCACACGCAAATCCATGTGTGTGTTCCTCAAGCACCTGTTGGCATAGGTCCTGGAGCGCCACCTTGGCTGAGTGTGTTTACAATCTGATTCCCTCTAACAACAGCTGAATGTGCGCCTGCCTGCTGAAGACCCCCCAAATTGCACTTTAATATGTGAGGGTTTTTCCAGACTGTGTCTCTGTCGTCTTCCTGTCTTCATGTGCCCTAACTGTCAGAGTCAGTGTTTGTAATCTAGCTATGTGTGAAGGTCACATTATGCACATTACACGGTGCATAGTCGTCATTCCAAGACACTGTAATGCCCCTTAAGGGCAACCCTGAGGCCAACAGATAAGATGTTAGTGTGTTTACAGTCATGATGCTAAAATTGACTACTTCCAGTGTTGAGTAATATGTATGACAATGCCAGAAATTACAGACTAAGGGAGTCTGTGTAGAGCAAGGTTAGTGTGACATGAGTGGTCTGTATTCATCCTTTCCACTGTTGGTGTTGTATTTATTGTATATTGTCCTTTCTTTCTGATATCTTTACTGGAACAAACTTCTTCTGACTCTTTGACTGACTATAGTTCAAAATCAATGAGGGATCTAATAATTGGGTGCTTAAAATGTCCAAAGATTAGCTCATTCAGGATAATGCATTGTGGTTACAGTATTGTGCATGCTTTCATGAGTGTGTTGTGTGTGTTGTGGTGCAGAGCCTAGCGACTTTGACTTTCCTCTGATCCTCGCTGCCCTCTTCTCTCTCTGTTTGTGGCCTATCATTAGAGCTAAACTTAGCCACGCTTATCAGTTCTGTCATTCCCTTGGTAAGACCACAGATGTTTAAGGGCTTGGAATAGCTGAGTGTAGACACAGGATCTCAGATGCAGTGACAGGCACTTGCGGCAAAAATGCCCCTCAAAGATTAGGAAATGCCTATATGGAATAAAACAAAAAACAACTGGCTAGCAAGAATGCTAGGGGTACTCTTTACCTCATTCACTTTTTACTTTATAACCAAAGATGTACCCTTAAGGAGTAGAAATTTAAAAGGTAACGATACAAATGTTGTTTATTAATCAGTATAACATAAACAATAATATTTCAAAGTAAATTAGGAGAAAAAAAGATAATTTCTCTTCCTCTGGCAAGCCTTGCCCTTATTTGTGGTGGGTGGAGTGTAACATTAAAGTGCGTTGACATAAAAAATTTAACTTTTTGTTTAAATTTTTTATCAAGACATTTTCAATCTCCTCATTTGCTCTGGGATATGCTGCACACTTTTTTTTATACTGTTCTGTTATTTTAGATTGTAGGTTGTATACAACTTGTGTTTTCTGCTCTGTACTTTTAGGAAAGCAGTTTATTATATGGAATGGATTGAGTGCCTGGGAGTGTTTTTGTCGTGCATGTGAGTGAAGAGTCCCTCTGCTCTTTTGCTCCAAACAGTGTGTTTACACAGGTATCATTACGAACACAATGTAGGGTGGTAACAGCAGATGTTTTCTGAAATGTCAGAAATCTTTGGCTCAACATGGAATGGGCTTGTTTCATGTTTTGACTCGTCATAGTAGAAAAGGCGCAGGTGTTACTGATAATATTAACGACCGCTCTGTTTCATTCAAGTGTCAGTGCCGTGACAGTGAGCCAGCATGCACAATACCAAGACCCTGACACTGAAGTAGCTAAATGGAATTCAGCCACCATTCATTTTATTATTTATACCTGTGTCAAAAGATCTTCTGTAAAAAGGCCTATTGTTTATAGTGCTGCAGTTGTTCAATGCAGATCTGAAGCTCCTACATACCCATGGTACACCCACACAGGTGATTTCAGTTTGCCTGATTAGACCTCTTTTCCAGATGGTGTGGAACACATACTGTGCCAACTTCCAGCTCCACCCAATATCTACCTGAGCAGGCATAATGACCTGTAAGTGAAAACACCTGTGTGGGTGTGCAAGGCCTTTAAGTAGAAATGAATGAATGAGAGAAACGGGTCATTTGCACATAAGATAAAGAAGCATTTACGTCACAAATTCATTCCCTGTTATTGTCATTATTTTTCTATTGATTTCTATTGATCGCCTGCAGGGCTCAATGTTAAACGTTTTTGCAACTGGCCCCACCGGGCCAGTCGGTTTGAAACTTACTGGCCCGAAAACAATTTTTACTGGCCCTCCTTCTAAAAATTATTTATCAGTGTTACAACAAAACCAAAGACTTATAAGTTATGTTATACTGTTAACATGTTTAATCGGTTATTAAATACATCCTAAATATAAAAAAAACTAAACTAAAATGTAATCAAATGTAATTAAAATTATAAAAAATAAAAAGGTTAACAAAACAATTTACTTTTAAAACAAAATATACTAACAGACTCAAACATGAAGTGCTCTCTCTCCTGCTGACAGCCATTTAATTAAAAAAAAAAGTACACAGAGCAGCGGATACAAGTCGCCTCTATCCTGATTGACAGGTCGCCATGGTAGCAACGAATCACAAGGCAGTCCCGCCCAAAAGCATATGCTGCATTATCATCTATTTCCCCCTGAACAGGACCATAATTTACTCAATGAACATCATGCTGTTTTGAACTCATTATTAAAGTGTTTACTGAGGTAATAATTCAGCTGAGAAGCAGCGACGTTTTACTGTTATTTCTAATGGAGCCGGACTTCTTTTTGCAACCAGCGGACTTGCGCCCTGCTGGCCGTTAGAGAGAATGCAGTTTTTGTTTTGTTTTGTTTTTTTAAACCTGTCCTGCCCAGCAGCCTGGTATAGAGTATGATGAGCTGGATACCATATTGTGCCAGACAGATTTTACTTTAAGAAGAGAGTATTAATATACTTCTTTGTCTGTTTTATTATTTATTTAATTATGTATTGATTTGTCACCGGGCCGGACAGGGGGGCAGACATGGGGATGGGGGGGCACAAACAGAAATCACAGAGAAAGGACAAGACCTGTAAGAGAAGGGGGATAGAAGGTGTGGACAACAGGGAAAAGCAGAGGGAAAAACCAATTGCAGAAAGCAATGATACCTGCAATAGAACAGAGATGGGGGCTTGGGGAGGAGAAAAACAACAACAAACAAACAAACAATAAAAATAATAATAGTAAAAGACATCCAGCCGAACAGCAGCAATAAACAGCTGACATAGTATGACAACTAAGGGAAAAGAAAACAAGAATCACACACACTAAATAAGCAACACAGCACAGCCACGAGAGCTGGAATAATAACAATTAATTTAAATAAGTAACTGAAAGAAAAGCATCAGGAATAATTCTACCAGGGACAACCTAAATTTGTTTGTGTCTATGTGTGAGTCTGTGTACGTGTGGGTGAATGTGCCTGTGTGTGTGTGTGTGTGTGTGTGCACATAAGCCTGTTAAAGAATGTAGTTGTTAGTGAGAGTGGGACGCCACAACTGTGCCACACCTACCCCAGCAACAGGCAGGTAAGAACCCCAGTAGCCAATAGGGGTGGGAGAAAGTAAAAAAAAAAAGTAATAAAAAAAAATAATAATAATAACGACCATCCAAATGCCAGTTGACAACGCAATGCCGCGGAACCACCCAGCACCCCACCGCCGCGCAGCGAACAACCAAAACGCCCAAATGCCACACAATCATCAACATAAATGCACAAGTGACGAGCCCAACGCGTGCACTGCGCGAGTACGGCGCCAACCAATGCCCGGCAGCCCCCCGCGAATCCCGCGTGTGAGGTCAGGCAAACGAGAGAGAGCGAGTGGCAGAACGACAGCGAAAGCCAGCGGAGAGAAAATGCAGTCTTAAGTTCCGTCTGCATGGTTTCACTTTCAGACCCAGAGGTTGCCGCTTGATTGAGATTTACGGTGGCCCTGAGAGGCCAACACATTGCAACTTAAGAAAACACATTCAAATTCATCACAACACATTAAGACAACACAACGGAAGTGTTTCCAGGGGACCCTTTTAAGTGATGCACACAGCTAGCTTGTTTTGGTTGAACCTGTAACCTGCAGTGCGTTGGCCTCTCAGGGCCACCGTAGGGATTAGATAATAACATTTGACAACCACTCGTCACGTAACTACAAATCTGAATTGGACAGCGGTGCGCGCCATGAGCTGCAAAGCAACTGCAGAATGTTGAGTTTGATTTTTTTTTTTATATATACTAATGTTTTTTGCGGGCCAGTGCAAAACTCACTGGTTGGGTCCCAACGTTACTTTTTACTGGGCCCGGGCCACCGTTATTGTCGAGCCCTGCGATGTTTGAACTGTATGGTATTCCAGCATCTCAGGGTGTCAAATACAGACGCTTTGAGAATGCCTGACAAAGTCAGTATTTGACGCTCAAGGTACCTTTCAGGATATGTATGAGACACCCTGGGCTTTCAAGTAACTCCAATGTAACTCATCTGCCATCATGTAATGTACTTATTTCAACCCAAAATATGATGTTTTTCTAAACCTAACCA